CATAAATAAATAGGGCTGACGTAATCTACAGTGAAACAGAACCGCTTGTTTGACCACGTGGCGGAACTCTTGGCAGTTCCTGCCAGCAGTGCAATCGCAGCGACTGTACAGCACTAGTCTTGGAATAGTTTCGTAGCCATTCTGCCGGACAAGAATAAGACGCAAGAACGAAATAGCTTGCTCAAGGAAATCCATTGATTATGAGTAAGTACAACGTCAACTTCGCTCAACCAGTGATGCTAATGATGACGATGGTTATGTTTCCCCATGCGATCTGGCAAAGTATCACTTATATTGTTGCGCTCAAGTACGTCGAATGAATATTCTGGTGTAAATCACCCCTGCAGACTTGAATGAGAATGTCAATATTCAAAAATGTATGACTACTTCTATGACACGTCAAAATCATGGAGAGCACCTAATGTTTAAAAACAGAATGGCGAAAGATAGTTCTAAAGCTTGACATTGAGGCATCTGGTAATGGAAAGGAGTAACGTAACATCTGTTCTTCTAATTAACCTCCAATAATGACATTATGTGATATCGACAATTAAATACAAAGCAAGTAATACAACACGATAAAAAAAAACATTCTTCGTGGATTAGGTTAATGCCGGTGAAACATCGTACAATCATAGAGCATCATGTGAATTAAGTTCATTAAGTATTCATCGTTAATTAATGGACTTTTCATGGAGCTGATCAGTTTGCAGGCCCAATCGATCATGTTCATGCACGCAAAGTCTTCATCGTAATTCGTGATGTGGAAATCATATGATGCAAGTTCAAGTCGATAGGAGGGTTCTAAACAGCTCGGCCAGCGAATTTCTGTCGCTGAGGTGTTGCTAACGTCCAATACTGACGATGGCCTGCTAGGGGCTATGCTCTGGCTGCCAAGATGATGCATACATTTGGTTGAGCCGTATCTGCTACTTCGCCACGAAATATCCGTCTCAACGCCGGAATCTAAGCCGTCTGAGAACACGGATTCCAAATGAAGGACACTGTCCATGTTGTCATAAGTCGGCTCAAGTGATTTCAGCGGTTTCAGCTTATTTACATTATCTTCAGTGGCACCTGACAGTTTTGAAACGCAATATGACTTACCTGAAAACTTTTCTGAGAGCAGTTTCTTCAAGCATGACACTTCTTGCTCATTTTCAAGAGCCTTATCGATGACAGCTTTGAAGTCTTCGCTGTTTACCGACGACGAGGAAGTTCTCCTATTATTTCTCTGGAGCTTAATCGTCTCGGCCGGTGGCGTTCCTGTACTGGTCAAACTCGGCCGCCTTAATGCTACTGGTGGCAATGATTCGATATCATATTGTTTTGAACTCGAAAATGGTGGCAGCATAATTGACCTTCTGGGTGTGGCGTGTTGAAATTTTTTTTCTGCTATTTGCACCAATACTGGAGCGTCATTGAACTCATCAATGAATGGAATATTCAAGCTTGGATTGGGACTAATGTGAGAAGGATGTGCAAGATGTTTGAAGCTGTTCGCGTCACAGCTCTCAGGAGCGTTAGTGCCAGACTTCATGCTAAGTCCACATTTGACTTGCTCTTCTTCCTTTAGAGGACAAGCATCGGTAGTCTCACCGACAACGGATTTTGCCTTTTTTGTTTTCCAACCGCCGCTGCAACACTTGAACAGGAACATTGTTTTTGACCCGTTGAGTGAATTTTTCATTCAACCACTATAAAGCAGTAAAATTAGTTAACTTTGTCACAGTATCGTGTCACATACTACCACTAAAGTAACAACATGATCGTTTCACGTAAAGAAAAATTCAAATAAACAAATAAACAATCGAAATGTCCTCTACTGCATGAAAACGCATATCGAACTTATTAAGTACGGTTCTTCAACCCATCGGACCGTCTTCGATTTAGTTATATTGTCAACAACGCAATCAAGCGGGTTGGGAAGATCCTAGAAAATCCTGGACGTATGTCGCTATGCGAAAAGCAACTGTTTATCCGTCTGATGCAAAACGGGAGCCTTTCGTAGATGATTGATAATGTTAACCGAAGGATGAGACTCGCTTGTTTGAGTCATCGAATTGCTACACTTTTTAACACCGAATCACTCTATGCAGCTCTTAGGAGGCTTGAAAATCTGGAAACATCTGTACAACTGTGAATGGCACAACTTTGTAAATATATCATGACCCTTGATGTTTACATAAGTAGTAATAATTTCGAAAATTCATTTGATTTTACGCCGTGAACTCGTAAATCTTCTAAGTTTCCGATTCAACGATTTTTAGGGCAAGGCAAAGATTGATGCTATGAAACTGTTATTACACAGAAGTCCGTTGTTGTGCGACCGCAAAATTGAAAACTGTGTGATAAAGGTTTCGTAGCATCAGATTTCGTCTTGGCTCAAAAACCACTGAATCTGATACTTAGATGATTTAAGGACCGTATTTTCCCATCGATAACGCGCGCCTTATCTATATAAAAAGATCCAGTCAACGTAAAAAATGAACGTTGCGCGTTATGCAATGAAAAACGAAAAAAGTTTGGCCAACACTCGAGGATGAACGAATTCACAAATTGGTTCTTTTCATAAATCTGAATGCAAATTATGAGTAAGCTTCAAAATTTTTTGTTTTGCCTTCTTCTGCAACAAAATACTGGTTGTTGACACTTCATGTCATTAGATTCTTCTAAGAGTACCCATTGGAGAAGTGCTTTTTTCGAACTCCGACCAGAAATATCTTCTGTACCTCATTTCACGTTTTTCCTAGTGTAAATATTTTAGAACTGCTTCATCTGTACGCTGTTCACGTACACTGGACTTTTAGAAGTAAAACTTCCTGACTGCCTCACGATTCTTTTTTTCTTTCGCGAAATTAACGACTTCCAGCTTAAGCATCGCTGTATATGATTTTCTCAGAGCAGTATGTTTTTTCTCCATGAATATTTTTCTCAGTAGCAACTTCTAGTTTTAAAAACAACACTTGCAGAATGCACGTATTCAAAGACCAGAAGTAATATAGTCACTCTTGTTAATCAGGCACAGTCGGTCATTTTCATTTGTCTGAAAACTGCTTATTTTCAGACAAGAAATAGACTACAAGTTATCTGTACATTTCCATGAGCCTTAAGTATTACTAGCTGCACTTTATCTATACATTTTAACGAACATAATAAAGTACAAGGTGTGCGGTATACATAAAGTGCGCGTTATCGATGGAAAAATACGATAATACCGTTTTTCTTGATTTTCTGGGTTTGAAAAAGAAGCATAACCATTCGAACTTCTTGACAAGAATTTGATTTTCTGCCCATATAGACTACGTAGAATTCCTCCCAGTATTCATCTTTCGGGACGAGAATCATCACAACCTTGCTTTGCTACTTCAAGTTCATTGAAACGAAGATAATCGAACGGCACTACGTGGATTTTCCCTCACCCTGTCCCTACGATACAGAACTACACAGCAGCAACACTAAGAACACTGCTGATTTCACCTCAGACCTCACTTGTGAATTTTTAAAACGACACTACGCTGATGCGGACTTGAATGCCTTGTTGAAGTGCATGTGGAATTACTGCAGAAAGAATCAGATGAAGCTCGCCCCAATGTTCACTGAACTCTATTATTGATGTTTACAAATCGCTCGGCGATCAATGCGTCGATCACTTATGTTAACAGAAAGATCGATTAGCCGTATTGAACAACAAGCTGAGAATGGGAAGAAAGAATTATTTATTACTCCTCAGGTGCGTATCGGAGCTTGGCAGAACAAAGCAACGCGTGATGAATCTTCTACTTCGGCTGCATGAATCCTCAGCATTAGTCAAAACGCTGGCGCCAGATTGCAAGGCAAAGAATCATCATCTCTCAATCAATACAATATTTGTTCCATCAAGTGAATAATAAAGTACGCGTTTAGTCATTGGATGCATGAATGTACGATCGAAGTTTGTTCGCCATCGTTTTCGATAGTGCTGAGAAGGACTTTTGGAGGACAAGATTATTTCCTTCATCCGATTTCGCCAAAGGCACGCGAAGAAAACTTAGTCTGACTTATACGTCCTCCGTAACACTGATGCTGCTCGATCGGCACAATGTCTTTTAGCATTCTCGACTAGTGTAATGCTCCGTTAATCC